CAGCCAGAGAAATTCCTGGGGCTTGGGCGGCGGGGTCCTCAGGGAGTAGCTGGGAAATACCTGGCTCTCTCCGCGGGTTTCAGCTGGGAACCGTGGCGGTGTGGGCGAGCACAGACTCGAGCCCAGGTGTCTAGCCGCTCCTGGAACACACTTGCAATATATCCTTTTACAGGTTATTCTTTATTGTTTAAAGAACTAGACCAAATCTGATCTTCATATGGACTAGCTTCTCCGTGTTCCAGAGTTTCAGATGTTTCCTTCACCTGAGGTAGTCATTTTGGAGATGTGGAAAGGAAAGGTAGACATAAATGAGTGCAAAATCTTCATTAACACTAACATGACTAAAGTTTCATGAAAACCTACCGACAGATCCTAGTTGTAGCCCTTCTGTATATGGTGGACAAGAATGCTGTGTGACATTTATCTCAATATTTGCTTGCATATTGAGGTGGGTTACGGTCTTAAACTTTTGTATCAGATTCTAGTTGCATTTATATGTTTATGTTTTATTTATCCAGAAATGGCAAAACGCTGACTTGAATGGGAAATTTAAACTTCCAACAAAGAATGAATTTATTCCCACGAATTTTGAAATTGTAACATTAGAAAAAGAAGCCACACCATACCCTGCTCTTATTAAGGTAATATGTTAGAACTGGTGATTTTTTTCTTTCTTTTTTTAATTCTATGTTGCCTAGACTGGTCTCAAATTCCTGGAATCAAATGATCCTCCTGCCTGTGTCTCCCAAGTAGTTGAGATTACAGGTATGTGCCACCATGCCTGGTAAAATCAGTAGTTTTAAATGGAAGAGGGGAGCACACCTATGGAGCAAGAGGAATGATTTTTTTTTTTTTTTTTTTTTTGAGACAGGGTCTCACTATGTAGTCCAAACTGGCCTTGAACCCATTATGTTCCCCAGGCAGGCCTCAGACTCATAGTGATCCTGCCTTCGCTTCCCAAGTGCTGGGATTACAGACATGTGCTCTCATGCCCAACAGGAGTGATTTCTTATGTTTAGTATTTTGTTGATTTGAGAAGCTCACATCCTAAGAATATCAACAGTATTGCAGAAAGAATGCAAGAAGTATTAAAAGGTTAAAATATTAAAGCAAGCAAACAAAGCTACTAAACAGTGTAGAATCTGGAGAATTGCTGTTTTTAGGAAAAAAAAATGTCTGGGCTAGAGTCACAAGTTTGTTGAAAGATATCAGCCTCTTTCCATGTCCACCGATGATGCAAAAAGGAGGTAAGTTTATGCCACATCACAAAAGCTAGGGATAAAAAAATCTCTATAGCCTGGTAAAGAGCCTGTCTGGAGGAAGCTGTTGGATTTCCTACCCTTAAAAAAATTCTCTTTGTGATACAGTGGCTGTATGAAGCTTATGGAGTTCCAAGTCCATAAGCTTCATACAGCCATAAGACGAAGGTGATTAAGAGGGGGATTTTTTGCCTTTTTCAGAATGTTTGTTTGTTTATTGTGAGGCAGAGTCTTGCTGTCTAGTGCAGGCTGGCCTGGGATTCCCTGTGTAGCCCAGGCTGCCTTTGAACTCACAGTCATACTGCCTCAGCCTCCAAAGTGCTGGGGTTACAGGTGTGCACCACCATGCCCAGTTTAGAATATTGTTTTCATGCTATTATTTCAGACTTTGGGTAAAGAGTGTAAAAAATATATCAAATTATTGTAGCACAGTTTCCTTTCTAAATTTAAAAACTAAAACTCATGACTATAAACACAGATCTTTTGTCATTTTCATCTTCAAATGAGCTTATATTCAAATTGTCAATGAGATAAGAGTCAGTGTTTAGGAACATGAAAGTTAATTTATCTTGAGTAACTAGATTATTAATGACAACTATATTTCTTTAAAAAGAAAACTCATCTTAATGAGTTATATATTAGGTTATAAAAAGAGAAAGCTTCTTTATCTCTCCAATTTTTTATTAGGGTTGTTTGTTTTTTGGTGCCTATGCTGAGGATCAAAGCTAGGGCCTTCCATGTGCTAAGCACCCTATCTGTGTCCCCAGTCCTTGGTTGTCTGTTTTAAATAGGCCTTCTTAGAGCAAACTAAGGAGAACATTAAACCATTATATTTGTTAGAGTTTCAAGTGAACGGCTAAAGCCTTTCTTAGCAAAAAGCACGGTGAAAGTCAGATTAGTGGCTATTTGTCCGCCCTTGGTTATTTTAGTTTTCCATTGCTACATAAGAAATTATTCCAAAGTTTGCTTATACCATAGTTTCTGAAAGTCAGGGATCTAGAAGTGTCTTAATTAGTATTTTTCTCAGGTTGTGAAATGAGGTTGTAGTCAAGCTCTTGGCCAGGGTTTTGGTCATCTGCAGGCCCAACTAGAAGTATACGTAGCTCTGCCAAAGTCAACCATGAGGTTGATGGCAGGCCTAAGTTCTTACCACATGGACCTCTCCATAGAGTTGCTTGAAATGGCACCTGCCTTCCCCAGAGTGATTGATCAAAAGGGAAAGTGAGTCATCAAGATGGAATCCACGAAATCTTTTAAAATTTAATCTTAGAGGTAGCATTCTGTCATGTTCCTTTAGTTATTAAACAGACTGACTAGTCCTCTGTGGGCAAAGGACCAGATAAGGGTATGAATCCCAGCTGTCAGGGATGCGTGGGCCACTGTGCAGGCTGGCTGCCACACGTCCTCTGCAAAGGAACCTAGCATCTGTCTGCTTTCTAGTGCCCAGAAGATTGAGGACGGGACGATTGGGGTTGGTTTCTCCAGTCTGTCTCTCCCTCCTCTGTGCTCTCATCTCCATATTCGAGGGGATATGGAAGGCTGATTTGATTCTATACCACCGTTGGTGGAGTCACCAGTCTTTTCTGCAGCTTTCTACTTGCTAACCCTGCTACTGAGGATTGAACCCAGGCCTTGGGCGTGCCAAGCAAGTCCTCTAACACTGAGCTTCATCCTCAGCTTTTGTTTTGTTTTGTTTTGGTTTTTTGAGACAAGTTCTCACCGTGTAGTGCAGGCTGGCCTTGAATTCATATGTAGCCCAGGCTGGTTTCAAACTCACAGCCGACCTCCTGCCTCAGCCTCCCGAGTGCTAGGATTACAGGCCTGCAACACCCTGACCTGCTTTTTGTTCTTTTTATTTTTCTTTTCTTCTTTTTCCCCTCAGAGACAAGTTCTTACCAAGTTGCCAGGGCTGGCCTCAATCTTGTGATCCTCCTGCCTCTGATTCCTAAGTACCTGGCATTACAGGAGCATACCTCTGTACCTGGACCCGTCATCCTCCTCTTGAGTGATTATTTGATTGAACATTTTTTCTAAATGTGCCTTTATTTCTCTAACCAAGTTGTTTCTCCATCACAGGATACAGCTATGAGCAAACTATGGTTCAAACAAGATGATAAGTTTTTCTTGCCAAAAGCTTGTCTCAACTTTGAATTTTTCAGGTATGTAAGATGTATCTAGCTATAAAACTAATTAAAAAATCAACAGTTATATTTGTTAAGTGTTCGATGTATGTCTAGCATCCATGTCTAGAAATAAAAAGAATTAAGAGTTATTTTGCCTAGACAAGAGAATGTTGCTGCTAAGAACTATTGTTCTATTATTAATTAACTAGAATTATTGGCACTTCTTCCCTTCCATTAATGAATGTCCCCTTTGACTGAAATAATTTATGTTAGCTACTATTAGGAGGACCTTTTGGCCCTTCAGGATTTTGGAATCCAGAGAGGCTACTAAACCCAAAATGTTCATTGAGAAAAGAATAAATAATTTGGGGATGTTAGGTCCCTCACATTGTACCCTGCCCAACTTGAAGAGGAAAAACTCTGACAGATCACCAGTCTATGCAAACAAAAAGCCCCTCACTCAGCTCAAGAGACTAAAGTAAATCTGTTTATCAGGATGGTTTCCAGGCCTGGTTCTCAGGCTTACAGGAAACCTGGTAGGTCTACAGAATGCCACACTGTAAATCAGCAACATGCCAATGTCATCCTGTACTTCCCTCCCCCAGAGGCACTAGACTCCTGGAAGCTTAAAATTTTCCACCTTCCTCAGTAAAATTCCCTCCTCCTGTGCCTTAAGTATATATAAAGCAGGCCCCCTTCCTTTGTTTGGGACCGACAGTTTCTTTACCCTTGGCCAGGCTGCACCCAATCTGAAGTAACGATACCGCCTTTTGCTTCAGTCCTGCCTGTCCCAGTGGTCTCAGTCGCTACTCGGGGTCCAGCCTGCCAGGGTATTTTTTTTAGTTTTATATTCCTGGAACTTGCCCAGAAAGGGCAGTAGTTGTAAAATGACCTTAAATCCTTTCCAGATCTTTAATTACCTGGAGCTTTGTCTGGCGTGGGTACTTTACAGTTGTTTAATAAGAAGGGCTGGGCACTGTGGCACACTCCTGTAATACCAGCCATGCAAGAGGCTGAGACGGGAGGATCCCAAGTTCAAGGCAAGACCCTATATCAAAAGTAAAAGAAGGGCTAGAAAAGTAGCTCAGAGGTAGCATTTGTCTACCATGTATAAGACCATAGGTTCTAGCCCTAGAACTGGAAAAATAATAACCAGAAGAAGATTTTTATTAAAATTTATGAATAATGCTACTGTTGCAATGATTTCTTAATGTATCTTCAATTCATCTCTGTCTCCCTTTATTTACTTGTTGGTTACATATATCCCCAGTTCAAATTTTACTTCGTAATTTTATACTTTATAACTTCAGATTTCTAAAATCTAGTGGTCTGTGTATAAGACCTATCATTATATAATGATGTTCAAGATGATGATTAGCTTTTCAATTAGTTTTCATTATTTGGTTGTCTTGACATGAAATTAGAGTGAGGTGTGTATTAGTTTTGGAAGCAGAAAAAAGAATCTCTAGTTAATATTCCATCAGTAAACTTGTAGCGATTGTAATGCTATATATACTGTGTTTTATAGCATTAGATGTCCATATGTTCTACAACTGTGCTGAGATTTTTAATTTTTTTAACATTAAACCTGGGCTGTTTAGTTATGGCTTATTGTTGGTAAAGAGCATTACAAATCTTATTTTATTTTTGATAGTTGAGAGAGATATTCTTAACACTTTAAGCAGCTTGTCACCTTGTCACCACTTTTCTGTTTTGCTGCTATGATTATGAATTTATTCCAAATGCCTTTTGAGAGATTATTTAACATTTTTATGTTCTTTAAAACTACCTAGCACAGGGCTGGGGATGTAGCTCAGTGGCATAGCGCCTGCCTGGCAAGCGTGAGGCTCTGAGTTTGATTCCCAGTACCAAAAAAACAAGCAAGCAAACAGAAAAACTACCTAGCACAGTTCCTAGAGTTGAAAATACTTCCTTCCAGCAAATCTCTCTCTCTCCTATCTCTTATTTGGGTGTTTCCAGAGGTAACTGCTGTTGCTTTCTTGTGCATTTTAATGAAGGTTTTTTGGGGGCTTTTTTTTTTTTAATAGGGTTTCTCTAAATTGCCCAAGTTGGGTTCAAACTTGTGATCCTTCTGCCTCAGCCTCCCAGAGTGCTGGGATTACAGGTGTGTGCCGCCATGCCTGGTTAGTTACAGTTTCTAAAACCTTGTGATCAGCCCTTTCATATTTAAGCATATAGTATTTGATAACAAAATAATATTTTTTAAATTACCAAATGAGCCAGAGTTTTATGTATTGCAGTTGAATCATACTGTCTTTTGAAAGTTAGTTAGCTTAAGGCCTCAAGCGATGCATTGACATGTAGATGTAGCACTTTAGGATAATTGTTGGAATTATGTTCTGAGCTTGAGTCATGTGCCTGTGAACTCCTAAACTTGGTTTTTCTGGCTTTCTGCTTCTTCCTAAATATTGCACAGTTGCCTGTGGAGCTGACCACTGTCTCTTTTAATGATTTTATTTTCGTGAGTCATATGTTTTAAGTTTCTGAGCTGTTTGCCTAAAGAAGGAAATAATTTCATAATTGTTTGTAATGTTTTAAAAGAAGTAAATAGCAGAGCATACTTGTAGATTTTCCAGTTGGATAATATTGTGATAGACATACAATTTTCTCTTTAAATTTTAGTCATCTAAGTGACTAAGCATTTTACCTCCATTGTCGGTTTATTGTCAGCCCTGATAAAATAGTTGACTTTACTCTCAGTACACCATATTATATTTGTATTCACTGTGCTACAGATAGAGCGAAACATGTAATTTGCTGCCAGAGAAGCCCCATCAGGCATCTGCCTGGTCTGCAGCGCTAGTTGTTCCTTCATCCTGGAATGTTCTCTGTCCCGCCCTGTCCCCAGATCCACAGGGCTTGCTTTCTTGCTTCCTTCAGGTAGAGACCCAGATGTCAGCGTTCTCCGAGCGGCCTGATGAACCATCATCTCTAAATTAGCAATTGGCCGGATGTGGTTGCGCACGCCTGTAATCCTAGCACTTGGGAGGCTGAGACAGGAGATCTGCGAGTTCGAGGCCAGCCTAAACTACATAACGAGACCTTGTCTTAAAGAGAACAAAACAAAAACTAGCAATCTTCCTTCCCTGCTGCTGCCACCCATCATTTCTATTCCCCTTGCTCAGTTTAATTTTTCTTCATAGCACAGTCACCACTTGATATATCACATTTAATTTTATTCTTTTTTCCTTTCCAACTGGACTGTAAGCTCTATGAGGTCAGTGACTTTGCCTGATTCCTTCTTTCTTAATTCTCCCTAGTGAGGAGACTAGCACTGTAATAAGCGTATAATAGATATCTGGTGAATGGATGAATCCTTCTCTTGCTTGTGGTAAAGGTAAACAGTGTCATAGTCAAATGAGTAGGCCATTTAACTTGCACTTGAATCCAGCTCTGCTCTGGCCGCCCCAGGTGACCTGAGGAAGTTATGTTTCCTAGCTGGCAAAGGAAGGTTTTCTTTATTTTCTTATCTGGAAAGTGAAAGTTGAGGTCTGGGTCTATTGAGCTCTTATATACTTTATAATTGTTTCTTCTGTTTTGTTACTCTGTCTTACTTAAATATTTTTCTGTTTTCTTCCCTCATTTTGGATGAAGTTATGTGATGGAATTTATCAAGTATTTTACTGATCATTCTATAGCTTTATTGATTTGAGGGAAAGCTCAGGGAAAAGATAATATTTTTATAATTTTTTTAGTTTTTCTCTTCTAACTGTTTTATATATATAAAACTTTATAGCACACAAATTTGTACACCTCATATTCCTGTCTACCAAGCATGGGACTTGCTTGGAGGAAGAAAAAAGACCTACAAATGCTGCACGAACTCCAGCAGCCAGGCTTCCCCCACTACCCTAAGGACAGGCATGTTTTAGCCCCTTCCCTCGCTTAGCAGCCTTGCATTTCTGTCTTGTCAGTTCTACTACATCTGGGGTAGGTAGGCAGTTCTTTCCCCCTCTTCACTTCCCCCAAGACACGGCATATTTCAGGCTTCTTTTTAAGACATCTCTTTTTTTCTCCCATGACAAGAAGAAACAGTCTTGAGATTTGACCATATCCTCAGGAAATTATATTAATTGATATTTAATTTCTTGATCCATCTCAAAAGGCCACGTCACATTGGGAAGTAATAAATCAGCTATTTTATTGTCAACATTTTCTTCCAGCCCATTTGCTTATGTGGACCCCTTGCACTGTAACATGGCCTATTTGTACCTTGAGCTCCTCAAAGATTCACTCAACGAGTATGCATATGCAGCAGAACTAGCAGGCTTGAGCTATGACCTCCAAAATACCATCTATGGGATGTATGTAAGTACCCACGTCCGAGAGCCTTCCACTCATCAACATTTTTTATATTGATTTGATGGAAGCATTTTTGACTGAGGGTATGAGTTTAATTTCCTTTTTAAAAATTCTTTATGGCTTATCATTTTCTCCATGTTTAATTTTTAAGTTAGCTCTTATTTTAAGTATTCAGCTATGTACCATTCGTATTAGGCAGGTTTTTCTTGATTTCTTTATTTTCTTTGACATCTTTCATCATATTGTCTTCTCAAACAAAATTGGACTCCAATTTAGGTTTAAATCACACTCTGTGTCTGAAGTCTTGATGTTCAGCAAAAGAGAATGAAATCTTCTCTTTGTAAAACATGAGGTTGGCCTATGCTGTTTCCCTAGAAATCCAGATCATGAGGCTGCATATTCATACTCTTCAGTCATGTTTCTTCATTATCATGCCACTGCTTGAGGTATCAAAGCATTTCTTTTGTTTTTCTTTTTGTTAGTCGCTACATTTATGCTGATCCTCTCCATTGCAACATGACATACCTGTTTATCAGGTTATTGAAGGATGATTTAAAAGAGTATACATATGCAGCACGCCTCTCAGGTTTGAGCTATGACATTGCATCAGGAATGAATGCAATACTTGTAAGTAAAATGAAAACCAAACAAAAGGCACCACACCGTTTAAGCATTATGTTGAGCTTGGGAAAACTATTAACTTCTGCAGTTTTAAACAAGATGGTTGATCTTTTTTGCACCTTTTATATGGTTGAAGAACTCAGATTAGTAGTAGTTCCACTAATAAATGACTTAGTAAACCATACTGCATTTTGTGAACACGTATGTGTGCTATACTTATTTGCATGTTCTGCTGAGGTGTTTAACATACTAATCCTGAAAGCATGTTTTTCTTTCTATATATTTGAGTATATTACCATCTATAATTTGAAAATATCCATAGTTATTGTTGTGGTGCTTAAATTTTACTTAGGTGTAGTCCTTATTTTTGTGGACAATAGTAGAAAGTCCCATTGTTCAAATACACTGGCCTGTTTTGTAGTCTGTATCATTAGCTACATGCACTTTAAAATAAGCATTATTTAATGCATCCCAAGATATAACTAGGTTCTCAAAAATGTTTTTGGTATGTTTTCAACCTTGATTATATCTCAGTTACAAATTAACATTCCTTGTATGGCGCACATTCATTTTCGCTTTTTGTGAAAAATATAGTTCAATAAAAACCTAAAATTTGAGCATTTCTGAGTACCCCATTTTATAAAAAGTTCTAACACAAAGGTTTTAGGTTTTTAAACTTTGTTTTGCAGTGGCTTTTCCCTTTGCATACATAATTTTTCTAGTAGAGCTTGTTTAATGTATAAGAATGAATATAATCCAGTCATTCTCAGCATCTACAGAAACTGAGACTCAGGGATCAAAATTAGCTCCAGAAATGTAATAAATCTATTTTCTGGTTTTTGCTATTGACTTTAAGCAGAATATTATCATTAGAACAAGTCATTTCTATTTATGATGCAGTGGGCTTCCTGCTTACTGTCAGCCTACCTGTGTGGTACTTGGTGTGTTTCACATGGCCACTAGCCTTCACTTCTCCTGAGTTCTTTCCTGTCGTTCTTCACATGGTAGAGACTTCCCCAGGTACTCTGGTGTTGGTACTGCTTTGTGTGCCACAGAGTGGAAGGGTAGCCACTCCCATTCCCTGCTTTTCAAAGTATGAGTCTGTCAGACATAGTGTAAATTATACAAAGACAAAATTCTGATGCTGTATATGGCGTCTTGCCACTGGCTTTCGGGACACCAATAGAACTCATCCAGTATGAAATGGCTTCTTATGAGGAGTACTGAGTGAGTGAACGGCACCATGCCGTGTAATATAGGGTCCAGGTTACCTGATTGCTCCAAAGATGATTTTTAATAATATATATGGATATATTTTGGGACATGTCCAGTAGTTAGCTAGATAACAGTCCTCTATGATCTTTACCTTCTTAATACAACTATAAAAAGTTTAAGGCTATCATTCATTAGAAATTTTTTAAAGGGAAAACTTAGGGGCTACAGGTGGTAGCTCAGTGGTAGAGTATATACTTAGCATGTACAACATCATGGGTTCAGTCCTCAACACTAAAAAATATAAATTTAAACATATTCTAGCCAGGCATGGTGCCACACACAACATAACCCCAGCACTCTGAGAGCCTGGGGCAGGAGGATCAAAAGTTTCAGCCCAGTTTGAGCAACTTAACAACATCCCACCTGAAAAATAAAAAGAAAACAAAGGGCTAGGGATGTAGCTCAATACAAAGACCTTGGGTTCAACCTCAGTACCAAAAATAAATTTATAAATTAAACACATTCTGTAATTAAGTTTAATATGGTATAGTGTATATCATCATAGTTTAGCATCAGATGAGTTTATCTCCATCGACTATTTAGGAAAACTGAAACACACTTTTGGCTATTAATATAAAGGTGGTTAGTGTTATCCTCCTTGGTGTTAAACTGTGAGAAGTTAAATTCGTTCCATTCCTTTCTTCATTTTCATTTTAATGTACTTGGCTTTGGAGTTTTCTAAGTTTGGGGATATTCTTGATTTTAAAATCAAGCTTAAGGTGTTTACTTGGAAGTTGTTGGAATTCTTTTTAGGTTTTTAATGCCCTGAACTCTTTCCATAGCTTTCTGTGAAAGGTTACAATGACAAGCAGCCAATTTTGCTAAAGAAGATTACTGAGAAAATGGGATTTTTTTTTTGAGATTGATAAGAAAAGATTTGAAATTATCAAAGAGGCTGTAAGTTTTCTTTTTTGTATTTTTTTAATTCATAAAGTAATATTACTATATTTTGAATTTTTTTATAAAGGGAATGGGAGCATAGGAATAATTCTGTTGCATTCATCTCACTTTCTCATTGCTAAATCCTATACTCAGAAAGAAAGCCTAGCAGATCTTGCTGGGCGCCTGGCCTTCTTCTCCTGGGCTGCAAGAGCTAGTGCAGCTGCAGTGCTGACTCTGAAAGAGGAGCACATGGTAGCATTCAGAGATGTTTTGCGGATTTCATCCCAGTTATTTCAAATAAACACATTTGAGTAGACTAGGGCCACAAGGACTTTGTCACACTGGGATACTATTTAGGTTTGATGTATCTTCCACTTAAATTCACCCCTTGTTCAGCCCAGTATTGTAAATATGGGATGGATAGCTAGTTTCACAGCTAAACTGTGATCTTTATTATACACCTTTAAAAAATTACCATTAATTTTCAATTGAAGATCCCATATACATCTCTCCATGTTAGTTGCTTATCAAGATGTAGGATGGCCTTATGTGTAATATCTATTGCACAAAAGACAGAGTCCCTGAAAAATTAGGATAATTTTCTGAGAGCTGAAAGATTCCCATAGTAGCTGGACATCTAGCGCAGTGGTTGAGTGCTTACCTAGCATGGGCCAGGCCCTGGGTTCAATCTCTGGTACTTCCTCTTCCCTCAAAAAAAAAAAAAAAGGTTTCCCATAGTTACGTACATGTCAGATGCCGGGGGTGAAAATGCAGCCAGGACCATGAAAAGGCATGCTCTTTAGTTTAAGGATTTGGAGAGGAGTGAGCCCCCTTCTTAAATATATAGCTTTAGGAGGAAGAAGAAGGAAATACTCCTTCATCCCAGTAATTTATACAAAATGAAGTTTGAAATGATTTCTTAAAGGTTTATAAAATTAATGGACGCATTTCTGCTTTCACTAGTATATGCGGTCTCTTAACAATTTTCGGGCTGAGCAGCCTCACCAGCATGCCATGTACTACCTCCGCTTGCTGATGACCGAAGTGGCCTGGACGAAAGATGAACTAAAGGATGCCCTAGAGGGTAAGACACTTTCTTTTTCTAAAGCCTAATGCTATCTTTAATGCCTAAGCTTTCTTTAATTTTTTTATTAGGATCTTCTTGGTTTTTTCTAATACTGAGTATTTATAACTTTATAATAACTTGTAGTTCTTTTTAGTTCAGCTGTGCATATTTTTCATTAAAATAGTGTTGGCCTTTGAAAAGGCTTTTGTGTTCAGGCAATGTAGCCATATTTGTTATTTTCAAACTGTACGCACATAGTTAATTATTGTTCGTAGGTTTCTGCAGATGACAAAATTGTTAATATTGAACTCTTCTGAAAGGAAAAATGGACTAAACTTGAATGTCTGATCACCAAGAAGGGCTGGGCATTTTTTCATGCCCTGGCATCGTTAGAGCCGTTCAGTTAGGAACTAGAAAATGTATAAAGCCTAGAGACTGGGCCCTTGTTTTGTTTTCCCCCTCAGATCTCAGATGTAGTTCTCAGGAGGATTTGTTTTGCTTTGTCTTTTGCTTTTTGAGACAGAGTCTTGCTATGTAGTGCAGGCTGGCCTTGAACTCTAACTATGTATCCCGGGCTGGCCTCAACCCCACAGAGATCCTCCTGCCTCAGCCGTGGGAGTGCAAGGATTACAGGTGTGTACTACCACACCCAGAAGTTCTCAGGAATTTTGCTTAAAAGTAAGTCCTAAATTCTTTGAGGGCAGTGATTATGTCTTCCTTTCATCCCTTTTACTTAGTATCTAATATATTATGCCCTCTGTGTGTTTCTATTAAATGCCCGTTGAAAGGAATGGAAATTCATTGAAGGTTGCTTTATTGGATATCACCCTTTATTATTGTTTTATATTTTTCACTTCTCAACACTGCTTTACCAGTTAATGTTTTGTACCTGCCCAACAATAAGAAGTAAAATGCAAAGCTGGGCATGGTCGCACACACCTGTAATCTCAGCACTCCAGAGGTTGAGGCAGGAGGATCATTGTAAATTCAAGGCTAGCCTGGGGTATGAATTCAAGACTAGTCTGAACTATATAGTGAGATGCTCTCTCCAAAAACAGTGTGGTTAGGACTCACTGGTGAGGAGGTAATACGCTAGTTTTGACAACCCTTACACTGTAACTACTTGTTAGATCCTTCTTGCGTATCTCTGTCTTCTTGAGAAACCACTTTGAAGATACCACCATGTATTACAGCAGCCATTGATATTTTCCTACTAATCTATCCATAACTCTGCAATGTTTGTATTGTTCCTATCCTATTTCGTAAATGGATGCATGTTTATTATTGTTTCCTACAACAACCATTGAGAATAGTTAATGATAGTTCAATTGGTCACTCTTGTATAGTTCTACTTATTTTCTTTAGAAGCCACCTTGAAGATACCAAAGTACAGTACAACAACTATTGATAATCTCCTACCTCTTTTGTCTGTAACTCACTATTATTTGTCTATTTGTTTTCCTGAGAAACTATCTTGTAGATAATAAGTATGTAAAACAATAGCCATTGATAATTTCCTGCCACTTTGTCTGTAATTGGTAAGCCCCCCCATTATTAAGTTATCCTTCTTTTACTCTTTAAAATAAAAATTAAAAAAAAAAAACAAAAAGCAATGTGGTTTAAGCTAGATGTGGTGGCACACACCTATAATCCCAGCATTCTGGCAGCATGAGGCAGGAGTACCCCAGCTTTGAGTCACAGTTGGGCAATTTAGGAAGGTCCTGTCTTAAAATTTTTTTTAAAGCTGAGCCTATAGCTCATTGAAGGCTCTGGGTTCAATCTTCAGGGCCTCTTCCCACACCAAAAGCAATTTAAAAGAAGAATTTTATTGAATTTTTAGTAAATATTTATTACAAGTCCTTATTCATTATGTAACAATGTGCTTTGATAACTACAGTGACAAATCAATAACAAGTACCGAAAGTCATTATTTTATTGACCGCCTTGGGCATCGGCTAGGAAGCTGGATTGCAAAATTCATTAACTAGAACAGATGCATTTTAATCTGGATGGTTAAATATTGTTCTTTGCAAAATGGTTATGAGTCATGTGCAGTTAGTAACAGGAATTTTTACCTTTTTAAAAAGGATACCACATAATTGATACTAAGTGTGTTTTCAAGAAACAGAACTTATTTTCAGTATAATCATAAATTTTTAGAATTGAGGTTGGTCGGCATGTGAATGTAAGCAGAGTAAGGTCTAGAGTGTCTCACAGGCGTATGAACCCTCCAGTCAGTCTCATGCCGGCCCCTCTACCTCCCGCCTTTGTGTCTTAGGTCACTCAACTGTCCTGGTGCCAAGCTGGCGAGAACCTCAGAGTTTAGTATCTATTTTGGAGAAAATAATTTGAGATAATACAGATATTTTTGGTTTTCCTTAAATTTTTACTAATTTTAATATCTTCTGGTGGAAATTAATTACATAGTAATTCCTGTGGTATCCTAATGGTCATTTTTCTATTTCTCCCATTCCTTTTACACATATTGATTTATTTTTTCTATAAGAGTTGACTGTTCTCCATTAGGACACAGGGTAATAAGTGCTACAGGCCTGGCTTTACTGACTGCCTGCACCGTTTACTGGCTTTACTGACAGCGGCATTCACTGACTGCCTGCTGTGCACCTGGCCCTGCGCTGCATTTTAAAAAGCAATCGAGTAGGTAGCCTTTCTAGGGGATTAAAGAGCTCCAGTCTAATGGTGAAGCATAAATAGATAAATAGAAAACCGTGATTTTAGTAGGGATGGGGCTGGGTGAGTGTTGTGCTACAGGTCTGCAGAGTCCTTAGGGGTCTGGAAAAGAGGCACCTGAGGCAGTGCAGTGCCGGAGAACAAGTGTCACACTAACACTTAGATTCCACTCCACAGTTACTAGCTTGATGAAAAGTTTTCTTCAGTTTTCTCAGCTTTAAAACATAGAGAGTGGTATGTACTTCATAGATTGAAACATACCGTGTGTAAAATGTCTAATCCATAGTAAGCAATTTGTCATTTGCCTTCTCATGCCTTTCCATAGATTTCAGTTACTGATTTTATTAACCACTCATGGGTATCCCGGAACTGCATAGCAAGACCCTGTCTCAAAGAAAACAAGGGAACGAAACAAAAACATTAGGGAAAGGGGGCTGAAGGGTATAAAGGAACTCGGTAGTATATTTGCAAGTGTTTCCAGTCTGAAGTTATCTCAAATACTGTACCAAGTTCTATTTGCTTGTGTATTTTTTAAACTTATATGTGGAGCTTAGTATTTCTTACTCCTTTGTAGATGTCACCCTTGTTCGCCTTAAGGCCTTCATACCTCAGCTCCTGTCACGGCTGCACATTGAGGCCCTCGTTCACGGAAACATAACAAAGCAGGTGAGTCGGTGAGGGTTAGCAGCCTTTTGTGGAACGCTACAAAACGTTTTTCCTCTCGTCTGTGTCCAGACCTGCTAACTAACACGTGATAAGCACATTAAAGCTCAGCCTGCCTTCTCCGCTCTATAGAGGAAGGTAGAAGAGGGCACAGGGGACGCTGAATGATGACGGCTAACTTGGGAACTTCTTTCCTCTGCTGTTGTCAGCACTGCGCACCCATAGGAAGAAATGGGAATAATATCCCCGCTTTGTGTACGATCACATATTATGTTCATGTCCTGACCGTGCCAGGTGTTAGATATGTCATCTCATGTGAATGTCTTAACTGTGTCCGATTTCATGGGTTGTAAGGACTAATAGCACATGCCAAGTTCTTAGCACATGGAAAGTACTACAAAATTTCCATGACACTGTCTCAAGGGCCCTTTTGGAGGTGTTACACTACCTCCTAAGCAATATGCCCAATGCCACATGCTAGCGAGTGGCAAGCGCAGTTCTTGCCACAGTTGTTCACTCACAGTAAAACCCCGCCCACCTCCTCAGCTTTGATGCGAGCCCAGGTATCTGCGGTGAAGGCACTAGCTTAGGAACAGCTTTCAGTTACCAGTGCGCCTCCGGCTTTGGCACTGCCTTTTCCCAGCATCACGGTCTGACAATCCAACATGACTTCTTGTTTCTCTTCACTACTACCGTGTTGACTGACAAATTCAATTTTAATCCATTTAAATAGTAAGTGAGTATAAGATTTTAAAATTCATTTTTATGCTGGGCATGGTGGTGCATGCCTACAATCCCAGCACTTGACAGGCTGAGGCAGGAAGATCGCTGCAAGTTTAAGGCCCATCTAGGCTGTATAGTGAGTTCAAGTTCAGGCTGAGCTCCACAGTGAGACCCTGTCTAAAAAAACAGAAACAAAAAACAAAACAGAATCCATCTTTGTGATAAACTAAACTATTTTATAAGCATGTTGTTTTCATATTTAATGGGCTGCCCAATACAATGTTTTTTATTTGCACAGACAAGATACGTTTTTGTTTTTTGTAATGCACTGTGATATCTTTTTCCCAGGCTGCATTAGGAATTATGCAGATGGTGGAAGATACCCTTATTGAACATGCTCATACTAAACCTCTCCTTCCAAGTCAACTCGTTCGGTATAGAGAAGTTCAGCTACCTGACAGTAAGTTGAACTGTTACAACTTCAGGAATGGATGAATTTGGTATAATAGTGTGGGTGACTGCAAATAGGTTAAGTTCATTTGGATGATAAAACATTGTTTCACGATAAAGATTCACTGAGATCCCCTACTATTCATAGAAATATGATTAGAGATAAATAATTCTGCCAAAAATGTTCTGGTAGGAGAGCCAAAGAAATGAAATTGGAAGTAGTCAATAATTTTGAAGAGAATAATGGTGGAATTGACTGGAACTTGAGCACTGGGGAGTTAGGAAGTAAAATACTAAAGAAATATTTACCAAAGCATGAAATAAAATTTATGAATAAAAAATGAGAGTTAAAGCTAGCTATGGTGACATACGCCCGTGATCCCAGCACTCAGGAGGCTGGGGCAGGAGGACTGTGATGAGTTCGATGCCGTCCTGAACTACATAGTGATTCCAAGGCCCACCCTGAACTATACATAGCAAGGCCCTATTTCAAAACAGATAGATAGCTAGAGAAAGGTAGAATCATAATATTTCACTGGAATCCCTTAGGAATCTTTGGCAGAAATAGTTTTAGGAAAGTCACAGTGCAGATAACAACATTTATTCTTTAAAAGTATATTTTATAAGGGATTAAGATAAAAAAATCATGCATTGTCTGCAGTGTTGCTACTTTTACGTTAACAGTAGTTTTTCTTGTTCTTTTTTTATGTCGTCTTTTTGAGACAGGATCTCACTATGCATTTCAGGCTGGCCTTGAACTCACTTGTAGCCCAGGCTGGCCTCGAACTCAGTGATGCTCCTGCCTCCGCCTCCTGAGTACTGGGATTATAGGCATGTGCCACCATGGCTGGCAACAGTAGTTTCTTTTGATATAAAAACTAATTAAACATTATTTCAGTATTGTTCAAAACTTATATGATGGGAAGTATATTGGACCAAAAATGAGGGTATTGATATATTTGCTACTCTTGGGGTGTTTCCCATGCCTGTATCATTTTTGTTTTTTTTCTCCTCAGCTAGTTCAACCTTTCCTCCTTTTTTCCCCTTTTCCTCCTTCCCCTTTCTTTCCCCTTTCCCTTTTTCCACCCTTTCCCTTTCTTTATCCTCTTCTTCCTGTGTGTATACCCTCCTCCTCCTCCTCCTTCTAGGCCGATCATATAAGCTGTCTACTGCAAATAAGCATATTAGTCATCAGCTTTCCATCACTGCAACAAAAAGACCTGAGATAAAGCACCTTATAAGGAGGAAAGGTTTATTTTGGCTCAGATAAAAAGGTTTATTTTGGAATGGCGATTGGACTGTTGTCTTTAGGCCTGTAACAAGGCGACACACTCCATGGGAGCATGTGGTGGTGAAAGCCCTCACCTCCTGGCAGTCCAGACAGGAAGAAGAGGGGCTGCAGTCCCAGTATCCCCTTCAAGGATGCACCCCCTAGTGACCTAACTTCCTTCCACTAGGCCCCACCTCCTAAAGGTTCCTCTGCCTCCCAGTGGGGAGAGATGAAACCTTCCACGTGTGGACCTTGGACAGGTGTTCAAGATGCAAACTATAGCAGCCACTAAACTTGTTCTAAAACTGCCATCCAGAGTAATCACCTCTACTTCTGAGCTTCCAGCAGTTTTCTACACTTGATCTTAGCCAAAACACCAAGAAGCAATCCAGCAGTTTTCTGAACCTCTGTTAAAACTACTCAGCACTTCTGCTCTTGCATTTGGATTAAAGTATCTCATTAGCTACACATTCCACAAAGCTGAGGTCTGCATCTGGCTCATTTTGAGTAGCTAGTAAAACAACTCAAGCATACTCTTGCCTCAGGATACCTTCGCTGAATACTCGAACAGAGCTCTTCTGTTCTTTGTGGCCAGTCTTCACAAAGCTGGTAATGGTTTATTGCATATTTCTGATTTGTTCCTCAGTTGCTACAAGCAGAGCAGAAAAGAATTGAGATCTGCTTTTCAAGAGCCATAGCATTGGGGTTTGGGATGTAACTTAGAGCACTTGTTTACCATGTCCAAGGTTCTGGGTTCAATCCCTAGGACCCAAGATTTAAAAAAAAACAAAACCAAAAACCAGAGCATTTGTTTTCTGGTACAGTATGGCCAGTTTAGAAACAAAACTTCACGCTGTGCATGGGGGTGCATGCCTATAACCCAGCACTTGGAGGCTGAGGTAGCAGGGAGGACCCCTAAAGTTTGAGGCCAGCTTGGGCTACATAATGAGTTCAAGACCAGCTTCAACTACATAGCAAGGCCCTGTCTCAAAACAATAAGCAAAAAAATCAAAGTAGTGTTTACCATTCTACTTCTTTCATTCTATTTTCCTCTTTCTCTTTCCTCTCCCGGAACTCTATCTTTTTGACCTCTTGAGTATTCCCCCACAAATCTCATACTCAAAAATAACGCAGTTTACTTCCCATTCTTGAATTACTGGGTGTTAAATTATTTGTATTTAGCTACATGATCTTTAAATAAAGCCTTAAATAACCTTTTACTTAACTGTCCACAGAAAGACATTTAGTTTTAAGAGAGAAATATGCACGGAGAAGAGGGTGACACTGTGGAACATGGGTGAAAAGGCTGGGCGTGGAAAGGGCGGAGGTTGAGTCCCTGTGCCCCTCCCTCCTCTGCAGTTCACAGGAAGTTATACGTGACAGTGAGCAACCAGCATTGGCTTTCTTAAACTCTGCATAAATGTTTGAACCTGTTGCTGTCTTTTTGAAACTTTCTAGGAGGATGGTTTGTTTATCAGCAGAGGAACGAAGTTCACAATAATTGCGGTATTGAGATATACTACCAAACGGACATGCAGAGCACCTCGGAGAATATGTTTCTGGAACTCTTCTGTCAGATTATCTCTGAACCTTGTTTCAACACCCTACGCACCAAGGAGCAGCTGGGTGAGAAGGAGGTTGGGGACTAGCAAGATGTTGGAGACCTTAATCAAATCTTTGTCCTCCAAAAACATTTTCCACATGTTGAATCATCAGGCATGCTCAGAGGGACTCGTGCAAACTTGTTACCAGGGACTCCATTCCTAAAAGATAAGCAGTTAATATCTTATAGACATTGAAGCACTTCTTAATGAGATGGCACTTGTATTTATATTATGCACATATCAGTAAAGAGGACATCTTAGGTAGGGACTAGAAGATAATGAAGACAGAATTATGGGTAGCAAGCACACCTTCCAGAGGAGCTTAGAGTCACCCAGTTTTGAGTTTCAGGAGGGCCAGTTTGATCCCTCAGTATTCTCTCTATCCCAAACCCAGAACACAGGCCATAGGAGGTGCTCAGTAAGTGTTTGCAGAATTTTAGGCACTCTTAAGAAATGTGAAGATCTTGGCAGGATCTAGATCAGTGAGGGGAGATGTCCGAAGAAGCCCCCATAATGGCAGGGAAAACCAGTGAAAAAGGTTTTGGATCAGTCTCCAGGTACTTATCATTTTTAAAAAAATAATTATTATGCTAGGTGTTGGACAGATGGGTAAGTTAGGGATAGTCTTTGCCTTTAAGGAGATCATAATCAAACCAGGATGGCAGGCCTGTAAAGGAATATTATAGTATAATATGGGAAATTTTACTGATCTGGTATTCAAACTGTAAAGCTAAGCTGAAAATAAGGAGTTTCCTGGGAGGAGGACCCAGAGGCACAGAAGTGGTGAGAGGTGGGAGATCAGTGCACAGCAGCTGAAGGAAGCAGAAGAGCTCAGTGTAGACAAGGTGTTGCAACGAAGCAGGGTGGGGCTCACACGATACCAGTGGTCCAAGAACAGGTTATCTAACAAGAAATGCAATAGTCGAGCTCGGTTCATATAAGGAATTTAGCTGTTAAAGCAAAGAGAATTAGGACCAGTGAATGTGGGGTGAACATGAGTACAGCACTTCATGGCACTGGGAAGAACTTCGTTTAGATGATGGGAATTAGCTAGCGGAGAGTGAGGAGTTTGATGAAAAGGGTTGGGTTTTTTTTCCTAAGAAGAAAAGGTCATCCACAACTTTTTAACTACTCCTCAGGGAGCGAATCTGCTCAGTCCTTAGGAACTGAGACTGCCCTAACTGTTGATGCTTTTCAGAGGTACATAATCTAAAGTTCTAAAGTAGATTTTGTTTTCCCTGAGAGATAAAAAGTGACCTGAGGCTCAGACCGCAAGATCCCGACTTAACTGGCGTTCTCTTTCAGGCTATATTGTCTTCAGTGGGCCACGTCGCGCCAATGGCATACAGGGTTTGCGATTCATCATCCAGTCAGAAAAGCCTCCTCACTATCTGGAAAGCAGGGTGGAAGCTTTCTTAATTACCATGGAAAAGTCCATAGAAGACATGACGGACGAGGCCTTCCAAAAACACATTCAAGCATTAGCCATTCGTCGACTAGACAAACCAAAGAAGCTGTCTGCAGAGTGTGCTAAATACTGGGGGGAGATCATCTCTCAGCAGTACAATTTTGACAGAGGTAAGGTGAAATTAGAGCCCTAACATTTACAGCATTGAAGTTTAAAATGCGAGAACATTACAACAATGCTGCAGAATGGTATGCATTCTCTAGGTGATGTTTCAGTAGTGATTTGGCAGCACCGTAGGACTTCTAAAGATCTGTTATTTAATGGAGCAACCATTTCCTGCTGGAAACGTTTATCTCCTTTTCTTCTCTAAAACCAGACCTGAATCTACCTATAGCACATGAATGTATTAATAACAAACCTAATTTCACTATTTTTATATTATCACTAAACATAGATACATAGGTATCTATTTCCAGTAACACTGAACAATTGAAAAAATAGATTGAACTCCCTTGAGGCAAGCACTACCCTAGAAGTACAGGAGTTCAAGCATTTGGCTTTAGAACTCTCCAAAGACTGTCCCCGCTTCACACTTCCGAAGTGGTGTGCTTCCCGAGAATTCTGTTAGCTTTCTTTCCCTTTCCTTTCGGGACAGAGATTAACAACAGGAGAGATGAACAACAGTGCACTAAGCCACACTTGAGCTGTGTTCTTACTCTAACACCGATAAAGTGAAGATCTTAGCCAGGTCACCTTTTTTGGGCCTTGGTTTCCTTACCTTTGTTCCTAGCTGTTGGCTCTCCTATTCATAATAGTACCTAGCGTTTATTGAGCACTTACCATGTGCCTCACATCATGTTATTATCAGATGTCATTTTCTTAACTCTTACATCAGCCTTATCAAGCAGTTATTTTTCCCAATTTCCACAGGAGGAAACTGAGGGTTAGAAAAGTTGAAGTGACTAACCCAAAATCCTGCAGCAGATGGCGCAGAGCCAGGATGTAGACCCAGGCTGGCATGGTTTTTGAGCCACAGCTTTTCCCTACGGCATTGTATCTGCTTACTTTTACTTGAAATCTGTTCCCTTCCTACTTGTAGGAGCAAATGGTCACTTAAAAATATGGATACTTGAGAGTTTTAGAGTAAAGTATATTACTGTTTGGTGTAGTATTTTGCACTACATAATGTGGAAATATTAAAAAATTATTGTTTGATTACCTTTTCAGATAATATAGAAGTTGCATATTTAAAGACATTAACTAAGGAAGATATCATCAAATTCTACAAGGTAAGTTGCATTTATTTACTTAGATTTTGTCTGATGCAGAAATATGTGCTACATTATGTATGGCTGCTTTGAACTTATTCAGGCTGGGTGCGTAGAGGTGTTTGGTAGACTTAAGTATTTGGGGCATATTTTGACCTATTACTGTTAGAAAAAAATGTCGACAATTCGTATTGAGACTCAGGTGTGAGACTTGTGTTTGCAGCCAGGCTGTTCAGTTGTCCAGAGTGGTCTCTTAGCTCTGCTAACCTCCCTGGGTGCTCTTAGGGTCTCCTGAGGTTCTTTTGTCCTCAGAGCAACGCGTGTGTGAGGCCTGTAAATACAGACCTGTGGCTCAGCCCTGCCACCAACTGGTAGCTCTGCGACCTTAGCCCAGTTACTTGTCTTTGTTTTCTTAGCTACAAAACAGAGATTACTTGTATTGTTGGAATGAGGCATGTAAAGTGATTAGCACTTAGTAGCATTTCATAAATAGTCTCCAAGATTTTGATGCTTTAAATCAGAATGTGTTTTCCTCCTTGATATATTATATTTCTGTGCCTAAAATAAATGTTGGTTGTGTTTACTTACCACTGAAAACAAGTTCACTTTGTGAGGATAGGTAGTGGTGGTGTTTGTTCGTTTGGGATACTAGGGACTGAACCTAGGACCTTCACACTGAGCTACATCACCAGCCCTTTTCTGTATTTTGAGGCTGGGTCTTGCTAAATTGCCTGGGGTGACTGGAATTCTGCTGCTTCGGCCTCCTGAGGGCTGGGATTATAGGTGTGTACCACCACACCCACTTAGATGTTTATTCCTAATTGCCTGTAAAAGGGAGTGGTCGCATTCAGCTCTTTTTTACTTTGAGATATGCATCTTTTTTCTCCTTTTCTTTTTTGTCTTTTTGAGACAGGGTCTCACTATGCAGTTCAAGCTGGCCTTGAACTCACTTTGTATCCCAGGCTGGGAACTCAAAGGTATCCTCCTGCTTCAGCCTCCCAAATGCCAGGATTATAGGTGTGTGCCACCATACCGAGCCTGAGATATGCATTTTAAAATATTATTATTAGTTGTTACAGCTTTTTAAAAAAAGATAATGCTCGAATGCAATTTACAACCATGGGAAGGCTTTTTTCTTTCCACAAATATGTTTTTTGTTGTTGTTGTTGTTTTGGTTTTTTTTCTTTTCTTTTTTTTTTTTTTCCCCAGTACCGGGAATCGAACTCACGACCTTGCGCTTGCCAGGCAGGTGCTGTGCTGCTGAGCTAAATCCCCAGCCCACTCCACAAATATGTTACTTATTAAAAATTACAAGTAATTTCCAGGCATACTGGGCATGCTGGCACATGCTTTTAATTTCAACATTTGGAAGCTGAAGCAGGAGGATCGCCACAAGTTTGAGGCTCACCTGGACTACATAGTGAGACTGTTTCAAGATACACACATTCCTGAGTAATTTCCAGGCGTAGTAATACATATTTGTAATACTAGTACTCAGAAGTCCAAGTTCAGAGTATCACCTGACTGCTCAGGAGTTTTTTGTTCTTTTTGTGTTTTTGTGTGTGATCAGCAGTTTGAGACCAGCCTGGGCAGCATAGCGAGACCCACATCTCAAAAAAAAAGTATATCCTATTATTGTATTGCGTTTGTGACAATAACAGTTATAAGACTTACTCTTGATGTAGCTCAGTGTTGCAGCACTTGTCTAGCAAGCATGAGGTACTGAGTTTGATTCCCTGGTACCAAAAAACAAAGACAAAGCTCCTTTAAAAAAAAAGACTTACTCTCCCTTAAAATGTGGGGGTGGGGCATGAGGATACGTATTATCAAGCTTCAGCTAAGTGAAAAAGAGTGTTTCCCCAGCAGTGTTCCGGCTGGCAGTCTACTAAATAGCAGTAGGGTCGCCAGGGGAAAGTTTGGGAAAGACCACTCTCCTGCTTCCGTTCTCGGGCAGTCACAGAGGATATTAGCGTTTTAGAAGCTCTGCGGAGCACCACAGTGAAGAATTTACCCAATGTTTGTTTAATTTTGATTAACAAAAACATTTTCTAAGTTGATTTCATTGGAGATCCTTTTTGGGCCAAAATACCTGCAAACATCTCCTGGGATTCCAGTGATCCAGTTTACAAGAAAGTGGTTTGTGTTTTAAATTTGGATTGTCCAGAGTTTGTCAGGAAATAGAGAATAATCCTGAAACCAAAGAGTGTTCTGTCCACTGGTATCAATGGATAAGAGGGTAATGAAGGTTGGATGAGTGTAGATCTTTGAGCTAGGTGTGAGCTGTAGGCTCACACCCATAATCCCAGCATTCGGGAGGCTGAGGCAGAAGGTTGCTACAAGTTCAAGACCAGCCTGTCTCTTAATGAGACCCTGTCTCTAAATAAATAAATATAAATATAAATAATATAAGTATGTAGACCTTTTGAAGCAAACTTTAATCCAATGAGAAAGAAGTTGTCAGTGATGTATGTTACTGGAGGCTGGCATAGGCTGAGCTCCTTAAGGAGGCCGTGGAGGTTAGAGCAGACCTGTGGGGGAGTCTGGGTTGTTCTGCCAACAGGAAATGGGGCAGCCACGATGGTCAGCATGACTGTTCGACGTCAGCAGGGCTTCCTTTGCAGCTGTACAGGACCAGGCTTATAATTCCTGCTCCATAAATTACTTCAGTCTTGCCTAATGGTCTTTCCCCTGTGAGGGTATGAACTGGTAAATCTGGCTAAGGCATCAGAGGAAGCTTCATTATAATTTGTACCCCTTTGGAAAAGATAGTACAAGTCTAGCATCAAGGAAAGGCCAGGAGACATCTCCTCACAGGATCCACTTGGCAGCCGAACACTACTGACATTCATAGCGATAACCAAGGGGAGTCCCTCAAAGGAACATGGTGAGTAGAAGGAGCATTCATCACTTAGCAGCTGCGCAGCTCATGCAGGTCAAAACTTCTGTGTGTCTTAGAGCCCATGTCCATAAAATAGGCATCATTATGAAGTTTAACTTACAGAGGGTTAAGGGAGCTAACGTAGGAGAGTGGCCGATACCAGGCAGGACTCGATAAGTGTTGTTTTCCTTTCCCCTTCAGTAGATGAGGAGCCACGTCTTAGCAACAAGGCCTTGACGCAAAATCTGAGACAGTTCTTAGAGAAGCAAGGGCTGTGGTTGCCCCCTAAGTGAGCTCAGGCCATCATCTCTGTAAACTCAAAATCCTTAGGTGCAGCCCTGCACATCACCTCCCAGTGAGTACTGAGACAGGCGTTTAATCCCCACATAGGCACGTGTTAACCATGGGAGTTTGAACAGCTCACTGATCTCCTTGGACTGTTTTCTCAGTTGAACAGGCTTCAGAATAATTCTTTCCAGGGCTGGTGTTGTAGTTTGATGATAGAACACTCACCTAGTATTCAAAAGGACTTGGGTTTGAGCCCCCCCATACACCCCTCCCCACAGGTGAAATAAAATAACACGAAGCGAAAGGGAAACAGCGCTGTATCCGTGTGATGGCTGGTAATTTAGTCTTCAGAGAGAGCCTCATTTAGGGTTCCTTTGTCAGGCAGAAGGGTGACTTTGCTTTTCTTTCTCCCTAGGAAATGTTGGCAGTAGACGCCCCAAGGAGACATAAGGTATCGGTCCATGTTCTTGCCAGGGAAATGGATTCATGTAAGTATTAATTTTTACTTACTTTTAAGTGTACTTTTAGGATCAGATTGAACCATATGAGGGTTGTGCCTCATATCCCTGTTAGACTACCAGAATGTAAAGGGGCAGACAGAGGGAACCAGAGACGGCCAGCTAGTGTCAAAGCCAGATTAAGTGGGGAGGGAAAATGAGGCAGTGAAGAGGAGACGACAGTGCCAAGCGAGCCACAGGTTCGCAGGAAGACACAGCTGGTTGCTAATAGGGTGACTCCAAAGAAGTTGTATGAAGCCAGTTTATCTGCTCAGTCTTTCTAGTCTCCTAAGCCTGCCTGGCCGTACTTTGCCCTATGACCATTAACTTCCTGGCCTTCTGGGTTGTTTTACTGTGTCATCATGGGCAGCCAGAGCATCAGAGTCCAGATCAGACGTGGGAACCAACACTGCCGCAGCCAGTGCTTCATGAGCTCAGTGAGCTCAGTGACATCATCCGGCCATCACTGGGGCACTCCAGATAGAAAATAGGACAAACAGTCTAGTCCCTGGGAGCAGGCAGCTGAGAGACTCTTGAGAAGAACATGAACTGGGCCTGCTGCAGTTTCTTAATGCCCTGAATTGGGCATATTTGAAAGTTGCTCTTGCCTACAAGTAAGAGTTAATGAAAGCAATAAACCTTTCATTTTCTTATAGGTCCTGTTGTTGGAGAGTTCCCATGTCAAAATGATGTAAATTTGTCACAAGCACCACCCTTGCCACATGTAAGAGGCATTATGTTATGTTGTACTTCGATTTAGAAGTAGCTTGGTCTTCAGGTTTATGTCTACAAGACCTCAGACCATGTGTTACATGTCACCTTCTACTGTGTGTCCTTGAATTCCCGGCCCTTCAGCCTCTGCCCTTGTCTGCTGTTCCTTTCATTTGAACAGTTGCACCATTCTGTAGTAAGTCATCTCTGGCCACATGTGTTGAAAGCGCCTTAGATTTTTCCCTGGTACCCCTATATTTTAGTCATCTAGAGAGAGTGACGTTTACCTGCAGTGCAGCCAGGCGCTTGCTGGGTAGGCGCACAGCCTCTGCTGCTCCCCTGGAGCCTTGATGCTAAGCTCCTGGTACCAGCCCTTGTGTGTCCAAGAGGAACCCAAGTGTGTTCCTGCTCTTCCTGTGGGAGATGCTCACTGCAGGTTTGCATACACCAACCCGTGACCCCTTGCCGTACCAATCTAGAAGAAAGTTTGGCCAATGACAATATATGCAATAGAAACTCATGTTCCCTTGCCCTACCCCCTCAAAGAAGTTGATATCCGAGTCAGTCTAATTTTTAAATGAAACACGCTAAAAAGAAACTTTTTCTTTGCAGCCTGAAGTGATTCAGAACATGACCGAATTCAAGCGTGGTTTGCCACTATTTCCTCTTGTGAAACCACATATTAACTTCATGGCTGCAAAACTCTGAAGATTCTCCAAGGGTGGAAAAGTATGCGTGGATCTATTCCTGAGTCTTCCAGGCCTGGGGGAAAATCTTGGCCACTATAGTAGTTTCTGGTTCACTAATAGAGAGACAAACAGAAAAAAAAAGGTTATCAAATGTTATTATGTAGAAATATTAAAAATCCAAAGTAATTAAATGCAAAATCTTATAGTGTAGAATATTTTTAAAATACATGCCTCTTAAAATATTTTAAAATTTTTTCTTTTCATTTTTAAGAGAAAATTTCCTGATCTAACTGCTTAAAATAATGAATGATATTCTTAGATCATCCCTATTCTGTGAAATAGTCCTTTGTCTGACAGAGATAAAAGTTAGCTTTTTTAAAAAAAGCACCCTAAGTTGACGGAGAAGGCTTCAAAATATTTAAAAAGGTATTAATTGCCTTTTTAAAAATTGATCCTCAAATTTGCTTTCTACTTCATGGTTTCATATAAATCAGTGGAAAACATTTGGCGGATAATGCACAAAGCAAAGTCATTTTCTTTTATTAGTAAAATTACTGTTATATAAGGCATGGTTTTAATCTTTTTATAAACTATGAACATGTTTTTTATTCCAACTAGTAAAATGCTGGAAAATCCTAGAGTACCCTACTTATTTACAGTGCTAGAAATACAGATTTACCTTACATCCATTTTGTCCCAAACTGAATTTCTCAGGATTACTGTGGTTTCTTTCTGATTGAACTGTATTGACATTCTTACTGTTTATAGTTGGTTTGCAGTGTTCTATCAGTTGTACTTTTTCTCATCAACATGTTGCTGTATGTACTTAACAAGGACAAACGGTGTCAACTTCAGATCCTGCTGAGTGTGTGACATGCTTTTCCAACATCAGCTCTCGTAACTACCTATAACTTTTAACTATGTGAAATTGTGATTAGTGTATGAACCAAAATGTTTTTCCCCTTCATGAATTTAAAAGGCAGCAACTACAAAGCCACCTTTTTAGAGATACAAAAAAACGTAACTGTGCATTCTTAAATAGCAAATCTCCATAAAACTCTAAAATCCCTTGTTGCTACCAGTCTAACCTTGCCTTAAGTGTTATGTTTTTTAATATGTAAACATATGAACACACAGATGATGACTGGGGTGGAATTTAAAAAATATTTTTTTCACAAGATACTATTTTAGGTGAAATTGTTATTGAATAGATTTAATAGCTGTTTTAAAATATTATTAAAACTTGTTTAAGTTTTAATATTATTACTGTTATCAAAATTTGTTTGAAGAGAAATTGTGAATAGATTTCCACATACAGGTACTAGCAACAGTAAGTGGTCCTGCTGTCCACTAACTCAGGCAGAGAATGCGCTCTGTCTCCCCATATGACTTGATTTGCCAGGAATTCTTTCTGCAGAGTCATGTCTTTTCACATCTTAAGTTTTTACATTTCTAATTTTCCAAATCTCAATTTGGGGCAAGAATGATATAGTCACAACTAAGGAGACTGCTTTCAAAAGTGGGGCTCCAGTTCTACTGTCAGGTCAATGTGGTGCTGTAACTGTCTTTCTATCCCTGCCTTCAAGAGCCTCCTCATGTGAAGCCTGTCTTTGTCTATCGGAAGGTTTGTGAAGGCATCACTTCCTTCTGGTTTTATGCATTTATAGACTATGCAGCTTTTCATCAAACTGCAGATATATACGAGATGAATCTAAAGTTAGTCCTGAGTGTTTAAATCCATCACTGTAAAAGTAAATAAAAATCTACCTACTACCTTTTCTGTGGAAAATTATGTGCTATTGAATAATTTTTAGCTCTTTTTAAAAAATGAGTAAAATTTTAAAGTATCATTTTTATGAGGAAAGGCACCTGAAGAGATATAAAAGCAATCGTATGTAGTCTTCCGTGAGGCTGCACTTGCTGTTCAGTGTGCTGCAGTATTTTCTGCTTTCCAGGTTAGATCTAGAGCTGCCGTTGGGTCACTCAGGCATACTAACGGGTTCAGGAAAATTGGTCCCAGCCGCAGTCCATGAGCAATAACTGACTACCCCAGACACTGCTATCTACTCAATGCTTACAAAATGAGATTTGTGGAACACTAAGTTATTAGTTACCAGGGACTTTTAAAAAGAGGTTTTTTTCGATTAGTTGATGTGAAGGAGAGAGCATGTGACACAGCCAGTATGGTGGAGTCCTAGGGTTATCCTGTTTACAATAAATCGCCTGAATTAAAACTCTGGACTTGGCGTTTGTATTATTTGTTCAGTGCTAGTGAGAGAATACAGTGGCTGGCCCTCAGCCTTCTTCTCAGCGTCCCCATTTGACATGGCTTCTTGGTTTCATGATTCCTGATATGAAGGTGTGTTAGTGATTGGCTGAGATCAATGGCTCAATTTCACACTGTAATGAAAGGATCACTTTTTTAAAACAGGAACTTCCATATCTGAGACTGAACTCCTTGCTATAAGTACAGTCACGAACTGGAAACCTCAAAGGATTCGTCTGTGGCCTTACAGGGAGGAAAATAACAAAACATTTCTCTCCTTTATAGTCCCTCTTTACAGCTTCTTGCCGCATCCGTAGGCAAGATGTTTTGTGTAATCTCTGACCTGTGACTACTTCTCAACTATCTACTCACGTGCTAGCCACCTGGCTCAGTCAGGTGTTTGGAGAAGAAAGCTGGTCATTCCTGTTTCCAGCCTAGGGCAGTCAGCCCACTCAGCCAGCACTGTGCTCAGAGATGATTCAGGAGCCCTATCCAGAGGTCCAGAGAAAGCCTATGTTTTTTGGCCTGGGACAGTCTTCCTTTCTCTCACATGTGTATAAGAAGGGCCATTAGGTACGCCACCCTCCCTTCGGTGCCTTTATCGTATTCTGGGTGGGAATGTTCTTTGGTTTTTGGAGATAAAGAGTCTCACTATGTAGTTCAGGCTATCCTTGAACTCATGTAGCCCAAGCTGTCCTTGAGCTCACAGTGACCCTCCTGCCTTAGCCTCCGGAGGGCTTGGATTATAGGTTTGGGTCCTTTAAGCCTGGCTTTTATTTAACTTTCAAGAGTCAAAATTCCATTCAGATCTTTAGATTCTAGATCGCATTGTTCCACATGATTTCCTGTAATGATAGCTTCGGAGTTCATCAATATACTTGATGCTTTCCTGTTCGTATATAACTACCTTTCTCACACAAATCATCTTACTTGATCACCAACTTTTGTGTATTTCAGAAAGCATCAGGCCAGATCTCACAGTTTATGCTCTTCTTCTGTCCACTGTGGTTTCCACTTTGCTAGGATAAATTATCACCACTAAATGTCTTACAGAATTCAGCAGTGACTCTATCAGGGCCTGGGCTTGCCTTTGTTGGTAGGGTTTTAATTACATCTTCAAGTTTATTGACTGATACTGGTTTATTTAGAATTTTTATATCATCTTGATTCAGTTTTGATAATTCACATATGTCTAGGAAATTGTGCACTTCTGTTTTCCATCTTTTTGGAATACAGATTCTCAAAGTAGGTATTGATGATCTTCTGGATTTCTGAAGGACCTGTTGTGAGTTCACCCTTCTATTCCTAATTGCATGGATTTGAGTCTTTTCTTTCCTTTTTTTTTTTTGATAAAGTTGGCTAAGGATTTGTCAATTTTATTTAATCTTTTAAAGAACCAACTCTTTGATTCCTTGTTTCTTTGCATTGTTATCTTAGTCTCCATTGCATTAATTTCTGCTCTGTATAATTTCCTCCTGTATATGAGCTTCGAGCTTGACTTGTTCTATTTTGATAATCTTGAGTTTCAACCTTAGGCTGTTTATTTGACCTCATTCTATTTTCCCGCTGTGGTTATTCACCACTGTAAATTTCCCTCATAGGACTGCTTTCATTGTGTCCCACAAGTTCCAGTATGTTGAACTGCCATTATTGTTGAATTGCAAAAACTGTCTAATTTCTTCAGTTTCATCTGCTACCCATCTGTGACTGTGGTTGTTCAGGAGGGTGTTACTTATGAAGTTCCCTGTGTTTATGATGTGGTTTCTTCTACCATTGATTTCCAGTTTCATTGTACTATGGTCTGATAATATGCATGGGTAATTTCAGTTCTTTGCAATTACTTAAGCATGTTCTGTGAGCCAATATGTGGTCTGTTTTGGAGAAAGTCCCCGTGTGCAGCTGAGAAGAATGTGTATTCTGATGCTCTCAGGTGGAATACTCTGCCGACATCTACTAAATCCATTTGTTCAAAGTCTGGCTCAGTTTTGGTACTTCTTTGTTGAGGTTTTGTCTAGTTGATCTGTGTGTGACAGTGGGTATTGAGGACCCCCAATATAGTTATATTAATGCTTATTTGATTTTTCATGTCCGTTAATATTTGTTTTATATAGTTTGGTGTGCTGGTATTTGTTGCATTTATATTTATGATTGTTATCTCTTCCTCTTGGATTGTTCCCTTTACAAGGATGTAGTGACCTTTGTCTCTCTTAATCAATCTTGGCTTGAAATCCATTTTGTCTGCAAATAAAATCACTACCCCTGCTTTTTTCTGGGTTCCTGTGGCATGGAGTATTTTTTTCCATCCTTTTATTTTCAGTCTATGAATTAAGTTAAATGTTTCTTGTACACAGCATATTGTTGGATCTTGCTTCTTTTTTTTTTTATTTTAAAGAGAAAAAAACCCAGAATTTCAAAACAAGATAATAGGCTAACAATGGTTAATGCATTGCATATTGTTATCTTTATATTAGTTACTCAGAGTACAAGATATAGGCATTTAATTATCCAAACAATATTACAACAAACTTTTCTTTTCAATGACTAAAAGAAATTAGTAGTATAACTATCATAATGATCTTGAGTATATATATATATGTTTTTCCTTCTTTTCTCCTTTCCCTGAGTTTTTCTTTCCTTCTGAAGATTTTCTTCCCATTTTACAGTGTCTGTTGTACATTTTGGATCTCATTTACTCTTTCAGCTTCTCACACTAGGGAGACAATACAGTGCTTGTCCATGTGCATCTGGTTTACTTCACATATGAGTATGGTCTTGAGTCACATCCATTTCCCTATAGAAGTCTCTAGTTTATCCTTCTTTATGGCTAAGTAGTATTCCGTTGTATAAAAATACCACATCTTTTTTATCCATTCCT